CACGCACGCAACGTTTTCTCTGAGACAAAGTGTAGTATATGACAACGGTATTTGGTGCAACTTTCAGTCTACATACCGCAATAATAACCGGGCGTACTATTCGGGTGAAGAAGGTAGTAGTACTACGTCAGTAACCACTACTGCTGCTACTGCTACATCTACTACTACTACTACTACTGCTACTACTACTACTGCTACTACTACTACTGCTACTACTACCACTATTGCGCTGTCGTTGTTTCTGCTGCTTGAGCTTCAGGAAGTAGTACTGCTAGTAGTACCGCTGCTGCTGTCCCTTCCTCCTCTAAATACTACTACTTCTATCTGCTACTACGCCATGCTGCTGCTGCTGCTGCTGCTGCTACTACTACTACTACTACAACTACTACTACTACCGGTAGCACTTCTACTCCGAACTGCTACTAGTTGCTGCTGCTATTGCTACTAGGGGTAGTAGTACCTTAGCACTACTACCTTCCGTGCTCCTGCCGCTGCTGCTCTACCTACAGGAAGTAGTACTGACAGACTGCTATCGTCCTCATCCGAGTAAAACGTCTGGTCATTATCGCATCATCTAGACTAAAACTTGCCTGGAATACCGCTACAACGACCGGGTGTTCTATTCCGGTGAAGAAGGTAGTAGTATTCCTTCCTCCTCCTCCTCCTCCTCCTCCTCCTCCTCCTCCTCCTCCTCCTGCTGCTGCTGCTGCTGCTGCTGCTGCTGCTCCTCCTGCTGCTGCAGTTAAGATGTGTTATCGCTGTCTTCCCAGCTTCCCAGGGCTGTCACCACCTCCACCGGGACACATTGTTTGATATACTGTTAACACACCATCCCCCCCATTGTCCGAGTCGTCGATTGAAAGACTACAGGGAGGGATAAGTTCAATTCTCCTCCTCCTCTCTCCTCCTTCTCCTCCTCCTCCTCTTTCTTTTCCTCCTCCTCCTCCTCCTCTCTCCTATGAGCCAGTTCGTAACGTCTTTTTTTCCTCCTTTTATGTATAACCCCTACTTAACGTCGGTTAGGGGTCGTAGCGGGAAATTGGTAGTATACTAGTAAGCAGACGCGCGCACTTGTCGGGGGGGGAGGAGGAGGGGGGGGGGCAAGGTTGATGAGGCGAAAAATGCTAATCAAGCCGCAGATGGCCGATCCTGGAGACTGCCGACCAATGGGTCGCGATCCCTGTCCGGCCATCTCGGGGTTGTCTACTGCTTCAACGACCTATCACGATCCCTGGCTTTCGTCCTCTCCTCTCCAGCCAATCACGATCATCTGTTTCGCTATTAACCGTTCCTTCACTTGTCTATGCTTCACCCTTCTTCTTCATGTCTGTCTCAACCAATCCGTACTTGCAGGTGGTTATCGAGTTCATACCATCGTCAACGAGCATGCCATTCACGACGAGGCTTCTGCTCAACGAGGAGGGAGGAACACGCCAGAAGCTTTTCCAAAACACCGGCTGATTAACTCATGGAGTGGGAGTCCGAGTCTCAGAAAACTGTTGAATCCGCCTGACAGTGAGCCTCCTTCCTCCTCCTCCTCCTCCTCCTCCTCCTTACAATCACCATCGTTATCAACATCGTCCTCCGCTCCTACATCCTCCTCCTCTCCTCTTTCTCCACTCCCTTCCACTTCATTCTCTGCTTCTCAAACGCTGTCAAACGGAACTCCGAACGAGTCCTCGACGCCGCCATCGCCAGCCTCTTCTTCATCATCCACTTCCTTCTCCTCCTCCTCCTCGTTCTCCGTACCTCCTTCTTCGTCAGCAGCAGAAGCTGGAGGGTCGTCGGACATAGCCTCCGAGTCGCCATCATCTTCTACCTTCCCTGAAGCACCGGTCATCTCCAACGTTGCTGGGGCTTCGCAGGCTGCGCGGCGACAAGGGAGCAAGAGGGAGAACCAACCACCTCCCGGCGTCGTTTTTCCTGCTGCTATCATCGCTGCTATCGCTATGCTGGGCTTGGTTCTGTATGCACTTCGCCGTAAAGCCGGTCAAGATACAGACTTTCAGGACGGAAATCGCCCGACTCGGAGGACGTCGATTCTGGCATGGGCGGAAGTGGATATGGCTGAACGTGTCCGCTTTTCCCGTCTGAAACGGGCGACGAAAGACTTCGACGAAAGTCACCGCGTCAAAGGCGACGAAGATGGAGTCGGGGACATTTACCGTGGTAATTTGATAGTTACTGGATTGCAAGGCGAGGTTGCAATCAAGCGGCTGAGGGGCAGTTTCGACCTGAAGGGGGAGAAGTCCGAGAAGGCAGACCAGTTCGTCAGCGAGCTGGCGGCCATAGCCAGAGCTCGACACCGCGCCATCTCCAAGCCTATCGCTTACAGCATCAACGGCAACGAAGCTCTGGTTGTCTACGCTTTCAACACGAAGGGCAGCTTGCGCGATCTGTTGGGTCCCGGGATTCGAAAGCTGGGCGACCGGAAGAGAGACCGAGATGATCCAGTCCGTAAAATCACGAGGCTAACCTCCTTCTCCTTCCCTGCCAACGTTCTCCCATGGCCAGCTCGCGTTGAAATCGTCAAGCAGGTCGCTTTGGCTCTACGATACCTCCACGAAGAGCTGTACCCCCCTCTCTTCCATCGGAACGTGAAGAGCACGAACGTGATGGTCGAACTGAGACTGGAAGCTGAAGGTGTGCGCGCCTATCTGACCGACTTCGGCTTCGAATCCGTCGAGAATTGGACAAGTACTGGCGAGAGAACGAGGCAGAGGTTCGGCCTGAGGGAGGTGGTGGGGGTGGTGATGGGGAGAGAGAATCCTTTGGTCGCGTTAACTGGATACGAACCGAGGACTGCTGAGGTCAAGGCTTGTTCGAGACCCGTCGGCGATGGCGGCGTCGTCGTCGTCTCATCGTCGAGCTCGCCTGCTGCTCGGGCTGATGTGTACGCTTTTGGAGTCGTGTTGCTTGAGATAGTCACAGGGAGAACGGCTGTCTTCCCGACGGAGGAGGAGGATCTGATCACACTGACGGATTGGTGCAGGCGTTGGCTCTTTGCTGCAGCGGGTCAATCGTTAGTCAGAGAAATGGTGGACCCTCGAATCGTGTTGACGTTGAACGAGAGGCAATGGCAGGTTGTGAATGAAATTGCTTGGCTTGGATTAGAATGCACAAGAGACGATCCGGCGGAGCGTCCCACCACTCAAAACGTGCTGCATCAATTAATATCCATCGCCCGCTAGCCTGCGCTAGGTCGTGGATATGATACAATGTCATGCTGCTGTTCAACTACGGTACCTGTTCATCACTTCCAATAATCCAATTATTCCAATGCAATGAAAATCAATCAATCGTTTCTGGTGCGCTTTCCCTCCCCACTCCCCCTCTTCTACTGATTATCTTTCTCTACCTCTCAGTTTGTCTGTCTGTCTGTCCTCTGTCCTGTCTTTCTTGTCTGCCCAGGCTGGCTGGCTGGCTTGCCCTCTGCTTCTCTCTCTTCGCTTCTCTCTCTTCGCTTCTCTCTCTCTCTCTCTCTCTCTCTCTCTCTCTCTCTCTCTCTCTCTCTCTCTCTCTCTCTCTCTCTGGCGCACGCGCGCGCGCGCGCCGACGAGGGAGAGAGAGAGCAAGCGAGAGCGCTGGGGCTATCTCGCTGTTGAGTATGTAGGAGTGTGTAGCATTGTGTACTGTCGATAGATATGTGCAATCGCAACGGGGGAACAAAGCAGTTGCAGCAGACATATAACGTAGGTTTTTTTTGTTGTTGTTTTCCCCTCCGTATTCAACCAAAAAACTTGGGTCTGTATTCCAACCTTTCCAGGTTGTAGCAACTGAGCTAGGCCGGAGTATCTTCACTTCCTTCTTTTTTCTTTTTTCTTTTTTCTTTCTTTTTTCTTTTTTCATTTAGAAAGGGCGACGGCCTTGAGATGTCAACGTCGAACGGACGCCCCCCGGTAAATTCCGAGTCTTTTTCACTCATCTGATCCCACTGGAAGTCGAACTCGAGTCTGTGTTAACTTTCACCAGACTGAGTTCAGGGGTGTACCAACTGAGGGCATACTCACACTACGGTAGGGACCTTTTTACTTATTTCTCTATGCAATTGCTGTGGTATACATTGAGGTCCAGCCTTAACTATGGTCAGATACATCCAGGAGAGTGGTAGTGTGAGTGCACCCTGAGCTAGGCAAGTTGGTGCTCTTTTTGTTTACCCACTTACGATGTTGGAGTTGTTTAAGATGCGGTTACTCCCCCCCAAAAAAAAAAAAAAAAAAAAAAAAAAAAAAGATGCGGTCCCCCCCCCCCCAAAAAGGAGGGGGGGGGGGGGGGGGGGGGGGGGGGGGGAGAGAAAAAAAAAAAAAAAAAAAAACCAAAATTTTTTCCAAATTTCCCCTTTCCCCCCCTCCCCACCCCTTCCCCAAAACCAAAACAGGAAAAACCCCCCCAAAAAAAAAAATAACCCCCCCCCAAAAAAAAAAAAAAAAAAAAAAAAAAAAAACCCCCCCCCCCCAACCCAAAAAAAAAAGTACATTTTGTATTATTGAATTCGCTGCGCAAAAGAAGTCTTTTTTTTATATAGAGCCCTTACATTCCCATGCTGCCGAACATTTAGAACACTGAGCTATATATGTTATATAAGTAGAAACTTTGGTAGTGCTTTTATAAAACAAGAGTCACTAGTGTTATTATTCACAACCTGATTGAGATCTCACCCCCACCCCACCGCACAGCCGCTTTTCGAGCAATCTAGCGGTGTTTGTTTCCAGGATTTGGACCAGTTCAGCCGTTTTGTCTGCCATCGGACTTTGAGCGGGGCAGGTGTGGACCTACGGGGTGGCCGTCCACGGGTCCCTGCCCCCGGGTGACATCGCACGGCAGGTGTGCGGTGTGGTGCGACGGGGAATACTGTGACCCCTGTGTGGGAACGGTTTAGTGGCACCGGAGACGGCAACGGTCGGCCAGCACAACAGACTCCCAAGGGGGTCCACACATACCCGTGGAATTGCAGAAAGTCGCCCATTGGGGGGAGGACAGAATCGTATGTCAGCCATTGACTACAGTGCGGTTCACGCTCTCCGTGAACACTGCTCTTCAACCTCTTGTCATCGCCATAGCCGCAGGGGGTGAAGCATCATCGTGTTGTTGTCAGGGTGGGTCATGGAACCCTTCACGTCAACAGCCATGGCTGATGACTGGGATGACGGTTCCATGTTCATTGTCCTCTTCGTGATCAATGGTCATGCAATGGATGAACCGGAGAAACCTTTCTCACGTGGGCTGCATGTAATGCAAATGGCATGTATGCCATCACCGGAGTCGGCGTGTGTGCGTGCACGGGAAGCATGTGTAGCCATTGACGTCACTGTGGGCCATTGCCAATTTCTAATTCGAAATTGGGCGGCCGCGGTGTGGTTGTGCAGCCCCCGCTCTGAAGTATCTGCCCCTTGTGTCCCTGCCCACCGTGCGACAGGGGGTTTGTCCGTTGTCTCGCCCGAGCCCCCGAAGGGCCGTGCCTGGCGGACATCATGTGGACCTGTGTGGTCTTCCAACTTCGGAAAACAGAAGGGGATGCGCCCCCCCCTCCCCCCCCCCCTTACCCCCTGCGTTTGACACAATTTTCCGGCGGAATTGCGGAATCTGGGCACTTCCCGGCCTGAAATGAACGTGGAAAGTCCTTCGACGCTTTTCCACACGACTCTTTTCTGCCTGGTGGTGTCTGGGATCCCGAAAGAAAAACGACTTCCAGGCCTTCTTCAACTGCCTGTGGGGTCGGAGAGAACATCCCGTGGCGTGGTTTTTCCGAGTTTTTCCCTTGTGTGTGTCCACCTCTTAGCCACACATAGAATAGACCAGTTTGACGGCATAGTCACACGAGGACTTTTTCTACCAATCTCCGGACGTGATTGCAAACAGATTCATCCCGGTTTGACCGTAATTGCAGTCAGATACATTTGGGAAAGTGCTAGTGTGAGTATGTCCTGAATTTGAAAGAAAAAAAAAACAAAAACAAAAAATAAAAATCACGGCCTCATTTTTTGTCCAACAGGCCCACTAGTAAAGAGAGGAGTGTATTAGGCGCCTTAATCTTGAGGTGTTTTTGTGCAGGGATGCAGAAATTTAGAGCAGATCAATCGCAAATTTCTGCACCTTTCTACAAATGCGTCCACATTCGGGCATTACGTCCAATCCCGTTTGCCAGTGGGACTTTGCTGCTGGACTAAGCAGCACGCAGACTGCACC